GCGCTTTGATGTCTCCTTTCCTCAGCACCAGGCAAACCTCCAGACATGGCCAACCAGGAAAAGGGCTTTTATTCAACAAAGGAGCAAATGGAAATATTCTAAAACATCAGTAGCGTCACCTGGATATCTGCCAGGCAGGGCACGTTTATTATCGCTCACCGCCCCACGGAACCGAGAAGCTGGGAAGAAAACTGTTGACAGGTGTGTGTGTGTGTAAAAAGAAGCAAAAGAGTACAGTGGGGGGGATGAGAAGAAAAAAAGAAATGAGGAAAATGGTCCGGGCTGTCTTTAATGCCCTTGACACTATTTCCTCAGTCCCATAAACGACAATTTGGTTTAGGGAGCACTGAAGGCTGTCTGTAAAAGAAATGTCTCTGGATCTATAAGAACGGCAAGAGGTTGTCCCCGGTTCCTCAGCAGTGGGACCGCTTCAGGAGGCAGAGGAGAATCAGTTGATGGTGAGCACGTCACTCTGGATCTCCTGGCTGAGCTGGGTCTGGAGGTCGCTCAGCTTCTTCTTCAAGCCGGACAACGCCGAGAGGACGATGGTCTCTGGACGCAGGGAGCCACACGACTCGACGTTGTAATAAAATCTGCAAGGAGGGGAAAGAGGCCCCTTTGAAGATTAAGAAATGTACTCCTTGTTCCGTCCTGGGCAGCCAGGGAAAAACTAAGAGGGGGGAGAGTGGCAAGGGAGATCCACCGCCACAGGAGAATCTAAAAGGGAATCCCAATCCGAGTGGGGGCCTTCTTGCCTTTCCAGATGTGGTGGGCTGCAATACCAACCTTCCACAGCCAGATGGCGTGGGATAGCTACAACCCAGCACATCTGGAGGATACCAAGCAGTCACTTCGCCGTGTCCCATAGGACTGTGTTTAGAAACCAAACAGTGGGGGACATATTGCTGAGCGAACTGCGAATGTGATGCGCAAGTGTTCCACAGTACAAGTGACCTTCTTGACCCCTGCACAACTACATGGGTCAATTACCCGTGGGGGAAAAGGCTGGCTGGAGCTCCTTTCTGAGTAGAAATGGGGTGGACAACCTGGGTTCGTGGCTTTGGGGTGCCTAGGGGATGTTGCCTTTCACAGCTAAGGGTGAGGAATACAGTTTTCCTTAAGTGCTGCTAATCATCCTTCAATCAGGCACCCTCCGGAGGTGCTGCGCTACAACTCCCGTTGTACAGAGAGGAGGGCGGCTGCCATTCGATGCAACCTGGAGGGACCGCAAGGGGAAAAGGTGGTTCAAATATCCATACCTCTCCGGCTTCCCGTTGGGATCGTATGGAGCCTGGGCTTCATCTTCATCAATTTCAGAGTATTCACTCTTTGGCCTAGGATGGAAAGGAGAGGAACTCAGCGTTTGCCTGGCAGCCTTCGGAGACAGGGTGGTGGTGTCGTGGTTAGTGCTGGGCTAAAAACTGGGTTCAGATTCTCACTCGGCCAGAGAACTTACTGGGTGGCCCTGGAGCCCATCCCACCGTCTCAGCCTGACCAGCCTCACCGGGTTTTAGAAGAAAGAGTGGAGGGAGCTGCCTAGCCTGACCTGAGCTTCCTGGAGAAAAGGACACATGCAAGGAAGGCGTCCATTCCTCCTTCCTGCTTTTAAGCAAAAAAAACCGGGACTCGTGACGGGGCAAAAACTGCAAGCTAGCCTTCAGCCAGTGGATAAAGGAAAGGGAAGCGAAGGTAACAAGGGAATGTGAGCTGATTCCAGGAAGCACACTTGCTAGGATGCTGAGCTCCAACGAAGAGAAACTCAGTTTCAGATCCTTGCTTATCCAGTTGCAAAGGTGACTAGAAATCTTGAGCGGGCCCAGTATTTTGCACTCTCATCTAAAGTTGGCTGAAAAGTGGAACATTTAAACTTAAACCTGCCCAGAGATGGCACAGGGCCCAAAAGGGCCAACTGGCCTTCTTCAGTTCAAGAGTTTTACCTGCAGCTCTGACAAGGCGTATTTATTTGGGTTCCTTCCCAGCTGAAGGCAATCTGGCGCACATGCCTAGAAACTTAACCAGTGTCTCATCAGAGAGCAGCAATTTGCTGCCAGAACTCACACAACTTCCCTTACACACATACAGATTGGGATTCTGGCCGGTAATAAAAGATAAACATGAATTAGAAATTTCTGTACTGGTTTGTTTTGGATTGATCGCTACAGAGAAGCACCGTCCAGTCTGGGTCAAACTTCTGTGAAGGAGTGCCTTTCACTTGGATCGCTGGAGAAAAGAAGTGCTGTGGCCTTCCTATCCAACACTGACAAGCTGCAAGACTTTTTTTCAACAGTGTACACATTTCTTATTTGCTCAGTTTCTCATTTTCCTCCACAATTTCTGTTTGATCCATTTTCACATAAGCTCCTGAAGTTAGCCAAGAAAACATTTGCACACACTTTCTTTTCATCTGCTCAACTCCCTAGATATACATTTTTGTATGTTCTCACCCTGCATGCTTTTCGTAAGTAGTTTTCTCCTAGTGTGATAGGTTTTAATCCATTTTAGCTTACCTCACCCTTTGGGGTATGTACTTTTCCTGAATCTATGCATTCCCATGCCCGTTTTTGACTTATCAGCTCTGGAGATCCATGGCTGACCGTCCTCTTGAATGTGAACAAATTGCTTCTACAGCCAGAGTGAGTCTCCCTGCTAGCATCCAGAGCACAGATGGAGGGAAATGACACACCAGGGCACACCGGCAAGATACCACCGTTTTGCACCCAGGATGGGGGTAGCCAGTTGTGCAAGCGTGTGTGTGTGTGCAAGACGGAACATCGTACCCAGAGGTCACCACCTGTCGAGCTCTCTTCTAAATCATCTCTTAAACCACACGTTATGGAAACATACCATTCCTCGGGCTTCGGATACACCGTGTGCCGCAGTGCGTTGTCTGGGTCGTACTCGAAGGCCACTCCGGCTGTGGGGTTCCACTTGGCGTGCTCTTTGCCGAAGCCCTTCTTCGCATAGGCCCGAAGTCTCAGCTCCTGCCCTTTCCGCAGCTTGACAATGAGAATGTCTGAAGAAAACAAACAAACAACATGCCTTTGGTGACAAAGGGATGGAGTAGCTGTAAGACATGACACCTGGGGAGGCCGCACCTGTCCTTCCAAAGCATCTCCCAGAAGAAGCCCAAACAGCTCTGCGTAGCTGCATCGCTCCAGCGGCCAGCCCTTCGTAAACACACAGTGCACTCCCTTGCTTGGGAATCACCCCCACGGGTACATCATTGGCAGTGTTGTCTGCTTGGGAAAAGTTTCCAAGAGGAGGGGGCAAGGAAGTCCTGCCACATTTGCAGAATTTAAACACCCCCCCCCGAGCTTTGGATGTGATTCTGACGGGGAATGGTGCAATCTGATATGACTGCAATAATAAAGATTTCTGATCACACCTGGAGGGGAACCTTGGTTGCAAACCCTGCTTCAAGATCATCAGCGGCCACCAGGCGCTAAAGGCATTCTTATGCAACCATCACATGTCTCAGTCAACGTTCCACCCCTAGCTATTACGTCGGTGGCTGCTTCCCATCCAAGGATGGCAGAATTAAAAACTAAGACCCTCGCCACTACAGTGTTACTTCTCTCTGCAGATCTCACCCTGCTGGGATACGCACCGTCCTGCTCCACGTAGTCGTTCGGATCATTATCTCTGCTCCGGGACGTCACCTGCGGATCAGAGAGAGAAAGCACAACGCGCTTTGCTTTTTGAGAATTTGGATGGTGGGTTCTCCACTTGGACAAAAGGAATGCAGTCAGGCCAGAATTATTATTATTTAAATATTCAACCAACTTATTTTGAACTAAAGATAAAGCCTCCGAATCACTTTCTGGAATCAGCCGCCATCGGCCATCCTTTGGAAGGTGTGAGCCTCCCGAACCCTCTTCCTGAGCATTTATTCAGTGCTAAGTAAAGGATGCTCCTGTGTGTCCCAGAGGCGCTTCCTTCCCGTGTTAATCCTCTGGCATTCCCTCCCCCTATGCTGGTTTGCATAAAGAGGGGCCAAGGGGACTTTACTGAGAAGAGCAGGCATGTCGCACTGACCGGTATCACCCGAGGATTGTTGGAGATGAGGTCACGGGACGTGACGTGGCGGGTCTGGTCTTCGTTGCACCGGACGTCCAGGGTGAACTCCACGGAGCACTCCGGGCAGAACTCATCACAGGTGCACTCCTGAAGGCCAGAAAAAGACACGGGCTCAAAAAGGGGTTGGAAGCTTCTTTTGGCAAAGCAGGGGTGCTGCCAACCCGGGGTCCCCAAATGGTCTTGGACTACAACTCCCAGGTAGCAATGGGAACCATTCTGCTATAAACAGAACCTGCTTTTTCCCCCTTTTTTCTTTAACACTTTAGGGAAAGATTAGGGTAGGGATCCTTTTTCTTCACCGCTAACTGCATTCTCAGAGAAATCTCTATGAAAATCTCGTGCAAACTTGGGCACAGGCTCACCCTGGAATATTGCAGTTTATCAACAACATCATCGCTGGTAAGTGGGATCAGACCTGGGGGGACAAGAGAGTTCAATGAAAACACAGCTGTAGCCTCGAGTGAATGGTGGCCTGGAAGGTGGGCAGATGGCATATACATATAAATACATACATATATACATACACACACAAATATATCTAGGGAAGGGAACAGGAAAACCTCTTTATACACAAAGTTTTGAGACACAAAATACACACAGAGACCAGAATGGGTCCCCTCCGCAGGACAGCTGGCAGAGAAACAACCCAAAACAATGAATATACAGAGAAAACATTCAATAGGTTGAGATTTTTCACCTCCTTTTTCAGTTCATGGTATCTACATCTTTTACCCCAAACCAGGTGCCGTGCCTAAATATTGTGGGAGCGTGATACATAAATCACGACCACCCCTGAGACCGTCGTTGTCATCAGCGTCATCTTTAAAGAAGCCCTAGAGACAAACGTCCCTTCGTTCCGCTCGCAGAATACTTGCCCAGTCTGTGTGCGATGAACTCGTCATGGAGGACGGAAGAGTTGGCGTCTATTTGGACCCAGTCGATGGCTGCAAATCAAAGCACAACATCAAAGGAAGGCAGCATGTTCTCCCTTGCCGACGGAAAGAGAACACAGGCTTTCAGGCGAGGCCGAGACTTTAAATCTAGCGAGGGTGGCTCGCCATGTCTGGTTTCAAGTTACTTTCGGAACAGCAGCTTGGGGAACGACGCGCACCATGTTCTGCTACAGTCCCTGAACCTCTCAGATTATTTCCGTTTCAGAGGTCACGGACAGAAGTGTTAGCAACAAAGGTAAAAGTGAAAATCTCAGCCCTATATAGCCACATGACCCAAAACACTGAATCTTTCTTTATGTGGCTGGTGGGTGTTTTTTTTAAATCCTCAGAGGAGACCTTTCTCTCATTCCTGTCAGCCTCACACGATGCACCTTGCACCTCTGCTGCTGTGTTAGTAGAGCACTCTAGTTAATTTTAATTTGTTTGTTTGTTTTCTAGAGATGCAGGGCAAAAGACGGGAGTGGGAAGGAGCTGCAGGGGCCGTGGCAGATGTGGGACCATTTGCATATTAAAGGCCTGAGCACTGTGCTACAGCCTCACAGGTCTGATGGGTGCTTTATCAGTCCATCATCATCATGATGTGCGGTCAATTCTGACTTAGGGTGTTCTTGATGATGATGCACTTGACTTCCCTCCGCTTTATCAGTCCATCATCATCATGATGTGTGGTCAGTTCTGACTTAGGGTGTTCTTGATGATGAACTTGACTTCCCTCCCCCCCAAGAGTTTTCCAGGTAGAGAACAGATAGAAGTGGTTGACCCTCCCTTTCCTCTGGAGGTGTCCTGGAACTGTACAGCTTTCCCAAGGAGACCCAGGCCGGCTCTTCTCCCAGGAGGCCCAGTGGGGGAATCGAACTCCCAACCTCGGGCTCCACGGTTGAATCCCTAAGGCACAGCCAGCCCACAGGCTCTTCTTACATAGCCCTGCTTCTGCAGATCTACCGTGCATTTCTGGAACTTCTTCTGACCTGTACCTGGAGATGCTAGGGGAACGGATCCCAGCCATTTACAAGGAAAACACTATGCTAGCACAGCTGGCATTTCATAAAGAACACGGCTGGGCAAAAGGCAGACTTCCAGATGTTCCTGAATGACAGCTCCTAAAATCCTTCACCACTGTCTTATACTAGCGAGAGTAGATGGGAGATGTAGTCCAGCCACCTCTGGAGGGCCACGACGGGCCCATTCCCAGAAGGAGAGACCCACATGGGCCTATATCCGTGAAAGCGTTGGCACAAACAGAGCCCTGTCGGGCTAGCTCAGCACTGGCGCCAACGGGTAGGTCGAAGCAAAAGAGGTAAAAGAACAAATTTGAGGTGGACGTACCGATGATGGGAACTTCAGCGATGAACACCCTCCTGATGGAATTGGCTACGCTGGAATTTAAAAAAAAAAGCATGGAAACACAGATCACAACTGAAGTGTCTGTTTTTGCAGAAAACTTTACATTCATATATTTGTTCCTCAGTGTTTAAGAAGAGCTTTCCTCCTCTGCTAATCTTTGGGGTTCCTTGCAGCTCCTGGAGGATTTTTTTTGGAGGGTAGCCAGACCCCCACAAACTGCTGAATTGGCCCCCCATAAATGCCTGTAATCGTATTTCCCACACACCCTCCCGACCGGGCCCTTGGGTTGTTTCTCCCTCCATCACAACCCGTTCGAAACCAGTGTGATGTTGGGACCACCCCTAGGACTTTCTGAGACAGTTGGGGTGTGTGTGTGTGTGTAGGGGATTCTGGGATTTGTAGTGGGAACAGAGGGCCCTTCCAAACCGCACACGAGGGGTGTGTGTGTGTGCAAAGCCATGTCTTTGGACGGCAACCCCCCAGCGCGTGCCCCAGGCGGCAAGGCCAGTGTGCGTGTGGGGGGGGATGAGGATGATGGTGGTGGTGGTCCTACTGCCTCGGGGGGATGATGGGAGTTGTAATCCAAAGCCACCACGACCTGCCGCCTCTCTCCTCGGCCCCCTTTTCCAAGCAAGAGGGCCGCAGCGACCAGGGAAGTAGGAGTGGATGGGTGGCCCCCGACACGCGAGTAAAGAGCCGGGAGGGAGGGATCTGGACGCTGCGGGGGTGGGGGCCCCTCCCCTTTCCCTCCCCCCCTTCTCGCTCCTCACGCCAGGTCCGTGTTCTCGATGATGAACTTGACGTTCTCGTCGCTGAGCTCCGTGATGCGCACCGTCGGCTGGTTGGCGTACGGCATGGCGGCGGCGGAGATGGAGGGGAACGGGACCGCCCACCCTGAGGCCACGCCCCGTCCTCCCCCTCCGGCCACGCCCCCTTACCTCTCTCCCACCCCCCCCCCCCGGCTCCTGGCCTCGATCGCCACCCGGCGGCGTGGAGGACCCGAGCAGGGCTCGTCTCTCAGCTTCCCGAGTGAATTAATTACAGTAATTCGTTAATGAATTAACGGGAAAGCGGGCGATGAGTGTGGAATCCAGTATGCTCTTTTGACAATGATCTACGTCTATGGCATGGTGTTCAAACTATGTGGCATGAAGACCTGAATGACGGACTTCTGAGACTTTATTTGTGTGTTTAGTCGTTTAGTCGTGTCCGACTCTTCGTGACCCCATGGACCAGAGCACGCCAGGCCCTCCTTATTTAAGTTCTCTTTATTCCTTCGCGGTGGGCGTGGTGGCGCCCCCTCACAAAGGATATACTATGTAAGGGGAGCTGAAGGAGGAAATCTGGACCCTTTGGGTAGGCGGCCAGGGAAGATGAGGCCTCCTGTTTCCTAGGCAACAAAGCCTGGCTAGTAGTAGCTCCAGCTACTTTGACTGCCAAGCTTACATCGCGACCACGAGTGGAACTCTTGCCCCGCCCCCGCCCTCTGATTGATTGATTGATTGATTGGTCACTCCACCACCCACAAAGCGAAGCGGAGGGCGGGGCCGAAGATGGCTCCTGGCGCGCGCAGGCGCACCCGGGCCTCCGCGGGGCATGCTGGGAAACGCCGGCCTCTCCCGGCCAATCAGAGCACGCGGCGCGGAGCGGGCTCGCCGTTGACGTGAAGGGCGCCGGCGGTGGAACGAGGGGAACCGCGGGAGGTAAGAGACCCGGGGCGGGGGCCGAGCCGGCGGCGGGGCGGTGGTTTGCTCCGCTTTCCTTCCCGTCCCTGAACGGCTTCGTCCCGTTTCAAGGCCTCCCCGCGCTTTTCTGTCCGTGAGGGAAGCAAAGCGGTGGGAGGCCGATGGACCCGGATGTGGGGTTCTATTCCCCCCTGCGGCCCTCTAGGGGGCTCTTTGGGGACTGCAACTCCCATAATGCCTCGCCACCGGCTACGGCGTTTAGGGCTGATGGGAGTTGTAGGCCCCCACCCACGCCCCCCAAAATCAAGGTTTCTAGTCCCTTCCGAAAAAACTTATAAAAGGTAAGATTCACTCCCCCGGGTTCTGCAGCCTGACGGCTCGCTTGGAAAGAGCCCTAGAGCCATTTGAACCCAAATGAAAGCCACCCAAGGCTGGACTCGATGGGTCCCTCTCCAGCTCTGCAGTTCTAAGATTGTAAGATTTCCTATTGATCTGAGCCACTCGAAGAGGGTGGACACTGAAGTGTGTCTGGCAGCAACCTCTGGATTTTCCCTGTTCTGTTAATTGACGGTTGTCAGCCACCTGGAGCACTACTTTGTAGTGCAAAGTTGGGGGAATGAATGAATGAAATAAATAACAAGGAACAAACCAAAACGTATGCCTAGTTTAGGGGTTCTGTTGCTCAGCGTGGTCAGTCAGATATTTTTTGAGGGTCGGGATATAAAGGGGATAGCCCCCTCCTTAACCTTGGCGTCTTCCGGATATGGAGCTGGAATCTCCCATGATTTGGTTTTTTTCTTTCTCTTCAGAGTCTGAAAGAGGGTCGCATTGTCACTTTCCATCAAACTGTGGTTGCTTCACCCCCATGTTCATTTTTAGCGGTCATAGGGCATCTAACGAGGAGAGCTACAGGCAATGAAAATTTATACCTCAAAAACTTGTTAGGGCTGCAAGATTTTGTTTTCATTTGCAAGAGATAAATGTGGAAATGTGATCATTTTGTTTTTGCACGTCTTTTCTAGCTTTCCAGTATCTGTCAGTGACTAGATCACCAGAAATGTGCTCAGTATTCCCAGCATGAATGAGTCAGGAAGAAAGGCTACTTGAATTTTTCTTTCTTTTCCCTAGTATCTCTGTATGGAATTTCCTTCATTTACCGCAATATTATCCTGATATATTGAATAGTCCTGCTTGAATCCAAGGTCTATCTCCTGGTTAGTTCTGTCCAGATCCTATTGATTTCTGTGTCTAGATAAGTAACATCTGGCCCTCCAAATAATCTTGGAATGTAACTTAAATCATAGGTAAATATGAAGGATGATGTGACTTTTAGCCCAGCAACATTTGGAGGCTCATAGTTAACCTGCATATGTGAAATTCTTGTTATAGGTCACACATTTTCCACTGAGTTCTAATTTAACCTCTTTATAGTTAACCTGCATATGTGAAATTCTTGTTGTTATGAGTCACACATTATCCACTGAGTTCTAATTTTACCTCTTTGATCTGAGACTCTTTCTCTACATGTGCAGTCTTCTTCCCTGCTTATGTTTTCCCTTTCTTTTCATGGCACAATGACAGTAGCTGAAAAATTATTTGAACAACATTTGTTGTGTGTGTGTATGGAGCTAGACTGAGAGGGTCAGGAGAACTAGATCATAGGAGTACATTTAGCACATTTCAAAATGGGGGATGTAAGCAGGCAGACCAAAAAGGACTTTTTGTCTTTAATATGAATGAGTTAGGAAGACTAAGATAGTCTTAGATGCCACTAACAGACATGTAGTGGTATAATAAATGTATTAGCGCTTATGATATCGCAAGACTCTTCTCCTGGACTAAGACACTAATATAGCTGTCCCCCAAGAGTGGGGTGGGCAGTTGTCCGTACGGTGGCTGGTTCTATTTAACAGGATAGTGATGGTAAATTTATTGCTTGAAATGTATTGGTTTGTAAGTAGGTGATGGAAGAGGGTGAGTGAGGAGAATGAGATGTTGATAAGAATGGTGAGCAGTCTGGTGTAGAGAGATGAGGGAGAAGGTGGTATGGGAATCTGAGATGTGTGAAAGAAGCTGGAGAGCATAGTCTGAGAGGGATGGTGGTGGGAGAAGAGGTAATAGAAAGAGTGAAGGATTGTACTGAATGAATTTAAAGCCTAAGAATAAGCAATGTTCTTTTAACACTGTTATTTTAATAAAACCTTAGTTGTGTTATTCAAGCTGAGTGGTGCTGAGTTCAGTAACGGAGGGAAGGGTATGTGAGTGATGTTATAAGGTCCCAAAATGGGCTCAAAACAGTGCATTTCGTTCTCTTGTGGGAATTAGGTAAAGCACTGTTAGACTCTGCATATTAACCAGTCTGCTTATGTTTTCTTTGCCTGCTAGGTTGCATTGAGAATTCTGAAATCAAGCCAGAAATGTTTGAACTTTGCTGGATTTACTTGGAATAATTCAGCTTTCGTACTGAGAGTAGACTGGAGCATGGATGTAAATGTGGCGATCTTAATGTGGTGGTCTCTGGGTTTAGAAATAATATTAATTAGAATATTGTCCAGGATCCACGGACTGTTTTGCTCTTATCTGGGCAAAGCCTTTGCATTCAAACAACATAAGGTTATTTACTTTACTACTTGGAATTGTTTATTGTAAATGTACATGGATGATTGTTGATGTATCCATTTACCAGGTGGACCTGCCTTGTGGGGCTAGATCTACTGCTGGTGAATGAATTTTCAATTATTGGCACTGCGCAGTGTTTCTTAGCATGTCTTTTCTATTTCTTGGAAGAGCCTACCAATATGTGTCTTCTCCATGTTTGTGTTTCAGTTTATTTAACTAAACAAGAAGTTATTGTTTCTTAAACCACCCACCAGGAATGCCTCCTGCTTAATGTTGTTTAAATGAGTTTGACTTAGGCAAGATCACACCTCTACCATCTTTCTCTTGCTCGCGTCAGTAGCAGCTTTCTGTGTGAGTGTAGCATCCGTTTGTAACATTCATAAGCAATTTCCACCTCCCACCTTAGCCCCGCTAATATGGGTAGAATATTTGATCATCTGGCATATATTGAAGAAGGAAAGCATTTTAGAATGTGTGTTTTGAGATGAAACGCCTCCTTGTACGTGTGCTCTTGTTTGCTGAACATCACAACATGATGGGCTTGGTGGAAATGCTGATTTAATTGCACAAGAAACACAGCTCGCAGAATCTGGCAACTATGGCTTGCGTGAATAGTAGTTCTTCAACTTGGTGACCCTGAGCTAATTCACTTTTTCATTTTAGTTGGAGATGGGAGGGAAATACTTGATAAGTCTCTTTCAATTCATCCAACCCAAGAAAGAACACCGGTGGAGGTGTATTTCATCTAGTGTGGATGCTTGTCAGATACTCAGTGAGTTGGAGTACCTGGCTGCAGAGCTGATGCATGAAGTTAAAAAAAAAATCACAGTAGATATTATCAGTTATATGCTGAATAATATAACCCATGCTAGGCCAGCATAATTAGGTAACAGGATTTAAGCCACCCAATTTCACCATTGGTTCCTCCAGCCTTGTCATGTTAATTTGAACTAGCAGCGGTGGCCGTCAGGGTTTCGTACAGTATTCCCTTGCGGTCTTCCTCTGAAGTACTAACCAAGTTTTACTTGCTTAGCTTTCCAAACACTAGACAGAATCAGCTACAATCAAGGCAAATTGTTTATTAGTTTGTTTTTAAATGATAGCTCAGACATGCGCAAGTGGCCCATGCCTGGCGATACTCTAGAGGTTTTAATTTAAAAAGTGGTAGTCATGTTAGTATGTGCAAGTGGCTCAGGCAAAATCCAGAGAAACAAACAAGCAAAAAGACAAAAATATGTGGCACCTGAAAGACTAACCTGTAATGTAAGTTTTCATGGACACATCCACTTCGACAGGAATTAATAATAGTTAGTCTTTAAGGTACCACATTTTTTGGCCTTTTGTTTTGTATCTTTGGATTTTGCATGATATTGAAGTTTTAATGTTTCAGCTGACTTTATGGTCACTTCTCCGTGTCTTTTACGAATAAACCCTCCTCCTCGCTCAATGATCAGGGAAGTGTCTGTGCTTTGCATCTCAGAGCTTATAGACTCTGTCATGGTCTGGGACGTTTGCCTGTGCTCCTGCCACTGCCTTTCCATTGAGCTAGTTAATGAAAAAGAGAAGTGAACCGGATCGAAGCGGAGTCTGTGCTGTTCTTGACGTCCACGCCAGCAGACGCACTGCTGCCCCTCCTAGAACGGCCGGGATCAGCCTTCACAGGTGGGAGGGCGGCTGCCTTGGGCACTGTCTGCCAGCAGAAGCTGTCCTGGCAGCCGTGCAATCATTCTCTGCCAAAGGGGGAAGCAACTTGCAAGGAGATGCTGAGGCGACATCCTGTACTGCATTGCAGGGCATGAAATTGCCTTTTTACCATGGTCTGGCTCTCTCCCCCTGATTCCTGTATCCAAGCGTCTGCCCTCTTTATTGGCTTATGAAAGTCTGATTGCCATTTATGCTAACGAAGAGCTCCCTGACTTGCGATGTTGAAGCAGGGGAGAGAGATTCGCATGGGCTCCGTTGTCTGGAGACAGACTGGTAGTTTGGCGTCTGCCTGCATACTGAAACGAAATGATCAGGTTTTATATTTCACTTGTAAAATACCTGCAGTCGTGATGGGTGGGGGGGTGCATTGAGAATAGCCATGTGTACATGAGGTATATTTTATTGCTTCTCTTGTGAACCTTGCCGGCCAGGTCCAGGCCAGTCAGAGGGTGTAGGTAAGCTTTTCAGTTATTACGACACTTAGAACACTTCATGTGCATGGCATTTTTATGCCAGCTGTCCCTAGGGAAAAATCCAATGGAACTCTCTGCAAGTAACATCAAGGAGTAGATTGGTGTTGCATTAATTGAGATCCTGTATGGTATAGTGGCATGAGTGTTACAGTAAGACATGGGAGAGGCAGGCTCTCCTCCTCACTGCACTGTGAATTAACTTGGTGACTTGGGATTTGTCATACACTCTCGGTCTGATCTACCTCTTAGGGTTGTTATGAAGATAAAAGAAGAGAGTCACATACACAGACTTGAGTTCATTGGAAGAATCATACAATAATGGAGTTGGAAGGAGCCTCTAAAGCCATCAAGTCCAACCCTCAGCTCAGTCCTGCCTTTCTGCTCAGGAAAGATGGGCTTGAATTGTAACTGACAAATTAATAAGGTTTCTGCTTATGTGCTCCTTGCCCCTTAACGTGGTTTGTGATTCTGGTTTGAGGGCCTCACACAAACCATAGTGTGTTGATTAGGATGTGCTGGGAAGTCGTCTTCTGTGGCAGTGGAAGTTGTCTATGAAAGTGGAGTCAGTGAAGAGAAGGCAAGAGAGCACACACAGCCTTGTTATCTAAGGCCTAACTACACCTCAGCATTCATTAATCATTGTTATAATTGTATATTCCCTCCCTGTTTTCCTCCATTCAGCTCAAGGTGGTGTATGCCATCTTCTTCTCAATTTTATCTTCACTATGACAACTTGGCAAGGTAAGGTACCGAGGTACCTGAAGCGCTTTGTAGCCAGGCAGCAATTTGATCCCCAGTTTGAGTCTATCATTATAACCAGCACACCACATTGGCTCAGAGCCATTGCATATGAAAAGACTCATGTGGAAGGAAATTATTAGGATAGTTTGTACGTACCCTGGCCCTTGAAGCCTGCGGTTACCCTTATAGCTCTGACTTGTTTCTTGAGTACCCTTGAGTGTGATGGGATTAGGGGAAATGGCTTTATTTTTACCTTTTTCTACCAATTAGTTTGAACTGCCAAATATTCTTTGATCTTCTACCCTAAGAGTGAACCTGTGTCTTCAGTCCAGTGGAGGAGAGGCTGGTTCAGAGGCCTTGAGAATTCCTCAAAAGATCAGCTGACCAAAATAGGTAGATTGACAGCTGTTTCCGAACAATAGGAATAAAATCCCACAGGGAGATCAATGTGAACAGAAACAGTGCATCAGAAGAGAAGAGGTACAACAATATTAATATATTATTAGCCTTGGATTATAGGAGCTTTCTGATTTCTGGCTTTTTGAGCACTTAACAGATTGCAGCCTCTTTTGGCATAACTTATCTCGCTCTGAGAGTCCTTTGAAATGACTCCTACGCAGGAATACATGTGAAAAGTGTTAATGTTAGAATAGAAGCCCCTTGTGGATTTCCTGGAAGATAACCATGATTGAGTATTAGATTCCTGCCAGTTTCTGCTCGTAAATCTTCCCTCAAAAATCCATCAGAGCTTCAAATGTAACTTGGAGCTTGCTTCAAGCTGAGCCATGCAGCTTCAGATACAAGACCCATAGCTGCTATTTTGCTTTTTTCCTCCAGAAATATATGTATGTATATTACAGAATGTGCAACTGGAAGGCATAAAAAGTTAGATGAATAATCCCCACCCAAGTAATTAGTTCAATTCTGGCTGTAAAAACCTAGCCCCTGTGAAACACAGGACTTGCAACCATGGAGAACATCTGTCATAGAGTTGAGGTTTGTGGAGTGTGAAGCAGGAGAGAGTTCTTCAAATGCTTCACTTAAGTGCCAGCTTGTTGGCTGCACTCAAAGTGCTTCACATTTGACTAATTAATCTTTCAAATAGCCATGTAAGGTAGGTGGGCATGGGTCATTATTGTCCACAAATCTAGATGGTGGCAGGAGCACGAAGCTGACAGATAAAAGCTCACCCTGATCCTTCTTCAGGCATAATGGTGTCAGACAGCTTAAATGCCCAAGAAAAGCAAGCATGACATCCTCGTTCATCCCTGGTCCTATTCCCTTTCTGCATTCAAAGCAGTGAGCTGAAGAGGAGTGTTTTCTCTGTACAGAGACTGCACACAGTTCAGAAGGCTGAACATCAAAAGAGTAACAGAAGCAAGCAAGGTCCCACAATAGTTTCTCCCCACTTTATCAGAATAAATAAAAATTATCCAACTAAATCCACATAATAACGTGGTTGGAGTAGTGGGTTAACTGTTTAGTTTCTAGAAGTAGCTTGGCCAGACAGCTCCATCCTTCATCAAGTATTTCTGATGTTCAGGTAAAGAATGGCGAAGTCGTGCTGGTGAACCAGGTTTAACGTTGCTTTCCCTGGTCTGGACAACCCCCCTGGCACGGCAATAATGCTGCTGAGACACAGACAGCACCTGTCATCCATAGTATTAACCTCCAACTCAAGTTTACAGTTGTGTACCACCTCGAAGGGAGGACATGGTCTGGCCATGGTTACTTGCATGCTAGTCATATCTTACTAGATTGTGAAAAAAGTATTATATGTCATTCTGCGCGTAGATGGTGCAGAAGGCAGATGACATCTTGCTAATTAATGGGTGCTCACCATTGCAGGCCAATTATCTAGTGGCTTTATAAGAACTGCAACTCTGTTGGAATCATACTTGCTTCCAGGTGCTCTTTTTTGACCTTTTAGAGCCAGAGGGCCTGGTTGTGTAGACTGAGGACTGCCTCCTCCATGAATCTCCATGCCTGCTAAGGCCTTCAGAGTTCACCCATCTTGAGGTTTAACTGAAAGTGACAGAGAGAGATAGAATGGTGGCACACGAAATACTGAATTCCTATTTGCATGCCCCCACCTGTGTTGTTTATTAGGTGTCCCCCCTGTCCCCATTGAGATTTTAATGGTATGAGAGGTTGTTTTCAGAAATTTTCAGTGGGGAGAAGAGCATCTTTGGTTTTAGAGATGCAGGTTCTCCATGCTTCAGCCGTTATAGGTGTATGTTGTGGTGCAACCTCACATAATTATTCCTGCAAGTCTTAACACTGATGCTGTTCTTGAAAACTGACACAGTAGCTGAGATTCTTACCTTATTTTGAGGATGTTTATGTAGGAGATTGGAATAGCTGAGTTATCATTTGAGAATATGGATTATTTGTACAGAGAAATTGTTCCTTTTATTTATTTATTTATTTATTTATTTATTTATTTATTTATTTATTTATTTATTTATTTATTTATTTATTTATTTATTTATTTATTTA